CAGGGCCCCAAGTCTGCTAATTTACGAATGGCTCAATTGAATATCAATTGAATCTCAGTAGCAGTTTTATCTACATTTGGTATTCTGCTATTAATTTAAGACCAATGGTTTTCCAGTGACATACCATTGAACTGCTATCGGAATATTTGCTAGTCTGCTCTTCAATCGTGTTACAGTTGTAAATCGATTGTGGTCTAAATCGGTATTCTACTCTTAGTTGACGTTTGTTTGACATTTATTTCAATGGACACTCAGTGTCAATTTTGCAATTGAAGTACGATCGTAGTACGATTAGACAACAATAGATATTTAGAGTACTTTGCAAGCCACCACTTAACAAAATATATTTAAAAGATGCTGCGGTCATTGTTACGATGGCGTATTTTAGCATTAGCTAATGCGCAAGATCGCCGTCGTCACCTTTTGGCTCAGCGCCGTAAAAAGCGGGCCTCGATTAGGGCAACGGTATCCGCCGTGGAAGAATTAACTAATACGGAGTTTATTAAAACATTCCGCCTTGGAAAAGCGGAAGTGAGGGCCCTAATAGTTAAGCTCACACCTTTGCTACCACGACAACGGAGGAAAGATGCAATAACACCCAATTTGAAAGTTAGTAAAGTGCTATATTTTTCTTGGTTTTGTATTTATATATTGTATTACAGGCCTCTTCTTTAGCAAAGGTACCTAAGCGACGGTTGTGTAATATAGAACTTCGATTGCAGATACTTATTGCTTTGGCATTCTATGCCACAGGCTCGTACCAGACACTTGTTGGCCAGAGTGTTTTTCACAATGTGTCTCAGACCACTGTCTCAAGGGCTGTAAGGCAAGTAACTGAAGCACTGAATAGCATCCTCCTGCAATATGTCATCTGGCCAAAGCATGTTCAAGACCGAAATAAAATTAAGAGACAGTAAGTAGGCATCTTACTATGCGGTATTTCATTTACTTATTTGTGTTTACTATGACTACCCAACTGGTATTTTATGTTGTAGGTTCTATAAATTTGGGATTCCCGGAGTATTAGGCTGCATAGACGGCACTCACATAGCCATCCTGAGACCGGTTGAACATGAGGAGCGTTATTTTAACAGAAAGGGATACCATTCCCTTAATGTTATGATTGTAAGATATCTTTATTTATCTTAATATGATGCCTACCAATAAGCAATAACATTCATTTTGAAACAACTTAACAATTAGGTATCTTCTACAGATTTGTGATGCTGAACTTAACATTCTGTATGTGGATGCAAGCAGTCCCGGGTCAGCCCATGACTCTAGTGTATGGCAGAGTAGTCCTATTTGTAATCACATGAGAGAGTTATGTAATGCTGGAGAACATGTATTTTTATTGGGTAAGATATATAAATATTGACTTCCAATAATGAACAACTTATATTTGATATAATTTGTAAACATTTCTTTTTAAAGGTGATAGTGGATATCCTTTACGGACTAATATGATGACCCCAATATTAAACACAGTAGAGGGCACTCCAGAACATCAATATTACCAGCTCCATGTCACTGCCCGTAATACAGTAGAACGCTGCATTGGAGTACTAAAAGCTCGGTTCAGGTTTTGTATCAAAATAAATATAAATTCACAATAAATAAATGATGATGCAAGGTGATAAAGCATATTGTTATTTACCAGATGCCTGCTAGCTGCGAGGGCCCTGCACTACGATCCAATTACTGCTGGAAAAATAGTGAATGCTTGCTGTGTGTTGCATAATATTGCAAATAAAAACAGACTACCTGTTCCACATCTCACACCTGAAGAAGCCCTTGCAGAGAGGCAACAACAGCATCGAGTAAGTAACCTTTTTGTCATGGTGCGGTCACTGAAGAGAATAGGCAGTTATTGATTTAGCTATGATTATAATTGGAGGTCGGAAAACAATTTCAAAGGCATGTGAAGTCTGCCAGTCTGCGTTGGCTGGTGGAGTCTGTACTCTCTTAATATGATGAAAGGCCTGTGCCCCAGCAATGGGAACGTTTCTTAAGCTGATGATGACGATAATTTAAATTATAACTATTGTTACAGATTGAAAGAGAAACTAGTGTAGCATCAGCACAGGGACTGGAACTGGAACCTAACCACCGTGTTAACCCTGATCTCCATCGAGGAAGACTTTTACAAAGAGCACTAGTTGAGAGATTGTGGAGGGATCATACTAATAATTAATGTTTAATAAAAAAAATGTTGTATTTAAATCTTTTTATTAATTATTAATCTAATCATATATCTATATACTAATCACAACCTACATAATAATATTGAAAACCTAATACTAATCGAAAAATATTAAAAATAATCTATTGCGATAGTGAATAAAAATTTATTCACTATCGGAATAGATTATGCGGGTTCTTTTCCGTCTATGGTGTACCTGAAAACAAATAAGATATATTAATATAAAAAATTGCAAATCAATAATTATGCCTTAGTAAAAAAATTTAACATTTGATTCACCATTTGCGATGTACGCGAATCTTCTAAGACTATGCGTATGGGCTCATTAAGCCTTGCCGCTAAGGCCTCTATAGCAGCGGCTAGTCTGTTGGTGGCTTGTGCACTAATATTTTCAATTGATGCCAGGGTTTCGGTAGCACTTCTCAATGCCGTGTTCTGGTCATCAATTTCTAAAAAAATACCATATTAGTATATTATTATAAGCTGGTACAAAATGCACATAGTCTACATATTGTTTATTAGTAGTAGTTAGTTACTTATATGTTGTTACTTGCCAGTAATTTGTTGACGCCGACGACGACGTCGTCGTGGAGGAGACTGTTGGGGTTGCTGCACAGTCTGAGAGGCTGCAGGCTCAGTCTGAGAGGCTGCAGGCTCAGTCTGAGAGGTTGCAGGCTCAGTCTGCTGGCCTTCAGTAATATCCAAACTAGGTTCTCTTGAGGCTAAGGAGCTTTGGGCTGCAGGTTCACAATCTCTCAGGGAGCTTACTTGTGGCTGCTCTAAAAATTGCTGCTCTTCAACCTCCATTGGTACAAATCTGAAATAAAAGTAAAAAGCATGTTAAAAAGTACAGTATTTTTAATGTAATATTAAAATATTAAGTATTTTTAAGATAATTAAATCATAAAAAGGGATGAAAATTACCCAGGACTGTCTTCCAAATTTTGTAAAACTTCATAGGTCCTGTGGAAAATATAGTTAATTTATTTGCCAAGTATTTATCTATATAGAATGAAAAGTATTTATTTTGTTCTCATCCTCCATATAAATAGAAATGAAATCTGTTGCCCTTCGTCGAACAAGTTTTGCGCCTGAGCCCCAAGTTATTAGCACATTGAGTTAAGCATAAGCATTTAAAAATGTAGTCATCATCATCATCATTAACAGCCAGAAGATGTTCACTGCTGAACATAGGCCCCCACTTAAAATGTAGTAGTTTCATAAATATTATAAACAAACTTGATTCATAACCAACAAAAACTCTTTAAAATTATAGTATAGATACAGAATAAGCCAAACATAGTAAAATGCATTATAAGTACACCATTTAGCATAGATGAGGAAGAAAAGAAAAGCCATACAACTCACACAACATTCACGCCATCATGATATGAAGCAGTAGCACTACCACCTTCATTTTGAATTGGCTGTTAAAATGAAAAAATAAAACGTGCAGTGCAATGAACAAAACATAAGTATAAGTGCAGCATGCATGGTTAAATTTTACAATTGCCTCTGCCCAAAGACACAATAGAAATAATAAGTATCCAAAGATTACAAAACGGTTTTATGAAAGGAAGGAAACTTACAATAAATGGGTTATGCCTAACTCCTGGTAGAGGTTCGCCTACATCACGCCCCAAAATGGTGTAAAGCCTCTCTTGAAGGGGCGTTAAATTTATTTTTGGTATTGATCCTCCTCCTTAGAAAAGTAAAATGTACCATAAAGATGAAGTAAATTATTGACAAAATGAAAAAAAAATTACCTGCAAATACTTACCTGTAGCACTCCTTTCACTTTTATCTCTTTTTATTTTTTTTAATAGGCGATGTTTATACTCATTGTAGAACTAGAAATAAGATATTATATTTATGAAATTATATCTGAACTTCAACATAAACAAGTAACTAATGCCATTGTTCTATATATGTAGCTACTCACCACGCGCCATTGCTCTCCTGTCTTTTGGACGCAGTCTGAAGATACGCTGTTGAGAATTTCAGCGCACTCTTGCCAAAGCCTTTTCGACAGACTGCGCCCTTCCTTCGTTCTTGAGCAGCGTCCAAGGGCTAGCTCCTTATGCCCTTCTAAGAAGTCTACTAGAGCTTCAGACTGTTGAACGCTCATATTATTAGCCTAAAATATAGAAGAAAACAATAAATATGCTAAAGAAAACAATAATATTAAAGCGCAGTATAACGTAGGTACATAAACAATAGAAATATAATTTGGCGAGTACTTACCGATTTGAAATACTATAGATCCAACACCCATTAAATATGGACTTACCAATGAATCAAATGGACTTGACGTGCCAGATGACAGACGTTTTTTTTAAATTATTAACCTTGTCATAGATAACTATGTAATTCAGCCTCTTCATTTGAAATAAACTCTTTCTAACACCGATAAGTCATGTTTTATCGTCAAGGCGATTTATTACCGACAATTTAATTCGTTATTGAATAACAGAAAATGATAAAAACGTATATTTAAATTTAAAAAATAGTTCATTCACTCATTCAGCTTCTGAATAGATTTTGAATGGCAACACCTTTATCTGTTCAACTGAGAGTCAATTACAATTAGACTACGATTCCATTACGACTCTATTGAGTTTACATTCAAGTTTTTGCAGAATACCAATTTTGTTCTAATCGTAATGGAGTCGTGATTGAATCTCAATTGAATTTCAATAGCATGTGAGTTAAATAAAATTAGCAGACTTGAGGCCCTGGTTGCCTGCAGCGTTGCTACAGTGACGAAATTATCGTTTGGTATTCACTAATCTGACATACGTTACACTAGCGCTCAAAGCTGTGACGGCCGTAAGTTGAAACTATTCATCGGCGAGCAAATAGACAGTTTTTCATACATTTTGGTATTCTCGAACAACAAACAGCATCGACGCACCTTTCAGCCTAGCCTACAGCCTCGCTTTTATCTGTCAAATATAAAAGCTACAATATTTGCGCGAATTCAATTTTATTTATTTACAATATACTTTTAACTCTTCATTGCTTTATTAAAAATGGCAGCGCGGTTAATGCTTAAGCTGTATTTATTTATTTATTTATTTTATTTATTCGAAGGAGTACGGCCACATCACAAACATATAACATTGAAAATACACAATAGTAACAAAGTAACAAACAAGTATTTAGTAGAAGAAGCCAAGAAAAGTGACGACGTAATGAAAGCTCGACAGGCGGAACAAATTAGGAATTTAAATAGAATTTCCCGTGATATGGAGTTCATTCACATTTACAGGCTCTCCGAAGATTTAATTATAAATAATAAAATAATAAATAAATAAAATGTTTATTTGGTGTAAAAAGCCAGATTACAAAATAAATCTTAATATCTAAACAAAGTCTAAAAATATGTGAAACCTGAACTAGGTCCAAGCCTGTGTTTCATTTTTCATTCATCAATTAATATATTAGAGAACGATTTGACTCCATACATTCATACTCCAGCTCGTTCAGGTGGTTTAACTAAGAAATTGAAGGCGTGTTTCTAATTATGTAGATTTCCAGTTACTGTGATATGGTTATAGCTAACTTCACACATTAATATTCTAATTAATTCATCATGTTTTAGATATTGTGCACTCTATCATTTTTGGCTAATGGGAGTTACCAAAAAATCTTAGGCAAGAATGTAGACACACATATATCACAGCCTTCTGCCTCTAGGAGCATCCACGATGTAATAAATGCTCTTAACAATAGAAACATAGTTCAAAGATATGTTAAGTTTCCCAAAAGCCACAATGATCGACAAGTCGTCAAGCCTAAGTAAGTACCTATCAAAAGTATCTTACATTTCCAAGTTATTATCTCTAGATTTTTTAACCTAAACCATTATTACAGGTTTTATGAAAAATTCAGAATTCCAGGGATGTTACGATGTATTGATGGTACCCTAGTGTCCATGATACGTCTTATACAGCACGAGGAAAGATTTTATTGTCGAAAAGGTTACTATGCTAGAAATGTTTACACATCAATGTTTTATACTTCTTACATTTATTACATTAAATTATTACTTTATATATTAAATTATTACATTAAATGTAAGAAGTATAACCTTGATGTGTAAACACCATATCTTATAAATTCAACTTCCTTGTCTGAAGAAGGCACATAAATCCTGCAGTGCCTGGGTCTGCCTTGACCATGCGTCCGTTATGTTTTTAAACATCTCTAACATAGCACGCTGGTTTTTTATGACTCGCGTTTCATTTTCCAAACGCCTCTCCTTTATGGCAATAAACCATTCTGTAAGATTGGCCATTTGTGACCTCCTTTGCGAAGGTGGTGACCGTTGGATCAGACGGCGTCGTGCTGTAACCAGTCGCCGCCTACGAGGTGCTGTAAACAAAATATGCAATATATGTAATAATATCATTAATTCTTAAGAGTTTAGTAAATGTACATAGTCCCGTTCATTTGGAAGGCGTACGAGGGGCGGAAGCCAACTGCGCAGAGGCCCTTTAGACAACTTTAATCTAAATGCAATGGACACACAAACCGGCGACTATCCCTGTATAGACTTATTATTATTTTTTGGGTTTCAGCGGCGTAGACCATCGTAGCGTTAGATACTTGGCCTATCAAAAAATGTACCATGCATACACTATAACATCATTTAAATAAGCCTTACATGAGGGGATGCTAGGATCATTATTCCTGTGAGGCACTGCAAGTGGTGATCTAGCTTCAAACTGCAAAAGAAAAAAGTAGTTGATTGTTCATAAATAAATAGACATATAATTTATATTCAAATAAAAGTAAAAAAGTGTTTATTGTAATAAAAACATAAGACATACAGTTTATGAATACTAACATCTAAACTAGGCCGAGCCTGTACCTTAGATGTTAGTTCCTTCCAATTGAGACAGTGTATTATTTACAATTCATAGTTTGTGAATGGTTTATAACATTATTGATATCTAATGCACGAGTATGACAATACAATAAAACAACCTTGAGAGACTCCTCTCTCTGTTGATGTTTTTTTATTAGGTACCCTCCTAGGTACCTAATAAAAAACATACTGTACACAATATCAAACTTTTTGTGAATTGCAGGCACAGAATGAATTCACTTAATATAGTTAAACCACTAAGACAATGAACTTAGATAAAAAATAAATATTATGTATATGTCGGAAGGATGGTGTGGGCGATGTCAAGCGAGAACCCTCTTCGTCATATATATCGGTAGAGGTATGTTTATGCAGTAATAAAACAATTAAATCTTCGTAATTAAAGTAACGTTTACTTTCGACAGTGCACAATAAAATTACTCAGCGATTGCTTAACGTGTGAACTGGGCAACGATTGACGAACGACTCCCCGAGCTTGCGCTTGCGCTGCTTTATATATCACTCGGTGGTGGGGTTGAAGTGACGTCGGCCAGTTGTTTGTTCACTGCTTGCCCATTACATTCGCAGTTTACAAAATAATGACGGCGGCGCCGTCATATATATTTTTTTATAACTTTATTATTTTATTTATTTATGTATAAAAATAAATATTATGTATATATTTTTTATAACTTTATTATTTTATTTATTTATGTATAAAAATAAATATTATGTATATATTTTTTATAACTTTATTATTTTATTTATTTATGTATAAAAATAAATATTATGTATATATTTTTTATAACTTTATTATTTTATTTATTTATGTATAAAAATAAATATTATGTATATATTTTTTATAACTTTATTATTTTATTTATTTATGTATAAAAATAAATATTATGTATATATTTTTTATAACTTTATTATTTTATTTATTTATGTATAAAAATAAATATTATGTATATATTTTTTATAACTTTATTATTTTATTTATTTATGTATAAAAATAAATATTATGTATATATTTTTTATAACTTTATTATTTTATTTATTTATGTATAAAAATAAATATTATGTATATATTTTTTATAACTTTATTATTTTATTTATTTATGTATAAAAATAAATATTATGTATATATTTTTTATAACTTTATTATTTTATTTATTTATGTATAAAAATAAATATTATGTATATATTTTTTATAACTTTATTATTTTATTTATTTATGTATAAAAATAAATATTATGTATATATTTTTTATAACTTTATTATTTTATTTATTTATGTATAAAAATAAATATTATGTATATATTTTTTATAACTTTATTATTTTATTTATTTATGTATAAAAATAAATATTATGTATATATTTTTTATAACTTTATTATTTTATTTATTTATGTATAAAAATAAATATTATGTATATATTTTTTATAACTTTATTATTTTATTTATTTATGTATAAAAATAAATATTATGTATATATTTTTTATAACTTTATTATTTTATTTATTTATGTATAAAAATAAATATTATGTATATATTTTTTATAACTTTATTATTTTATTTATTTATGTATAAAAATAAATATTATGTATATATTTTTTATAACTTTATTATTTTATTTATTTATGTATAAAAATAAATATTATGTATATATTTTTTATAACTTTATTATTTTATTTATTTATGTATAAAAATAAATATTATGTATATATTTTTTATAACTTTATTATTTTATTTATTTATGTATAAAAATAAATATTATGTATATATTTTTTATAACTTTATTATTTTATTTATTTATGTATAAAAATAAATATTATGTATATATTTTTTATAACTTTATTATTTTATTTATTTATGTATAAAAATAAATATTATGTATATATTTTTTATAACTTTATTATTTTATTTATTTATGTATAAAAATAAATATTATGTATATATTTTTTATAACTTTATTATTTTATTTATTTATGTATAAAAATAAATATTATGTATATATTTTTTATAACTTTATTATTTTATTTATTTATGTATAAAAATAAATATTATGTATATATTTTTTATAACTTTATTATTTTATTTATTTATGTATAAAAATAAATATTATGTATATATTTTTTATAACTTTATTATTTTATTTATTTATGTATAAAAATAAATATTATGTATATATTTTTTATAACTTTATTATTTTATTTATTTATGTATAAAAATAAATATTATGTATATATTTTTTA